AGCAAAATGACTTCTTCAATTTTGTACTTTCTTGGATAGCAGGACCATCTATGTCCCTAAAGTATCTAAGAATCTTGTGGTTAGAAATGGTTTGGCAGCTGACTCATCCAAATATAGGCGTTTCCTCAAAGACTTAGGACTTTAAGAAGACCCCCAATGAGATGGGTTGACTCAGTGACGGCCATGATGGCTTCACACACAACAAGTGTTGTGAGAATGGCCCAGAACCAGTTGTACACAGGGCCACTGTTGAATAGGAGCCAGCATCTAACAACCACCACAAGAACTTGACCACTCCTGTAGACTGAGGAGTGACTGCCCTGATAGGTCGAGGCAGTTTCATTTTACACAGTTAACTGAAGTGTGTCTCCCTGCCTCTCTGCCATATCCCTTGTTCTTCTCTGAGTGGGCTACATACGAATGTCTTTCATAGTATGAACCTTATGTCGTCCCAGCTACCCATTCAGCATTTTCTTGTTTGCTATTTAAGTGCCAGTGAAAAAAGCACTTAGAGTCAAGAAAACCTAGATCAAAATTTCTTCTCTTTAATTTATCATAGCATTTAATATGTTCTATTGGTTAGGGACCTCTCCAAAGTACTGAAGAGCAATGGTGTCTCTCTGAAGACTAAGGTGTGTCTGATACAGGCCACGGTCTTCGCAATCACTTGTTATGCATCAGAGTTGGACAATGACCAAGGAGGATAGCTGTGGTGCTGGAGAAGAGTATTGAGAATACCATGGACTGCTAAGAAAACAAGCAGATTCATCCTGGAAAGGGTTAAACTTGGCTTTCTTGGTTTGACTCCCTAAATTAGTGTCCTTAAAAATATGTTGCTCAGTATAGAACATGCTTCTGATTAGACATAAGTGGAATGAAATTATCATTAACCTGTTTTGACACCATTTCTTTTAATGCATCCAAAATAAAATTAGCTTTTTTTTATAAGTTATAATACATCAAGGACTCATAGGAAGCTTACAGTTAGAAGAAAAATCCCATATTTTTTCCTCTGTCATTATTGTTGTAATAATAGTGTGTGGATGGTGATGGCAGCATCTGACCTCTTAACTTCACAAAGGGAAAAAGAAAATTTCCATCACAACCTCATGGGCACAAAACCAATCTCTATGAAGCCATACACACCCCTCTCCACACTTTAGATTCTAAACTTTTCTTCTACTACCAACCACTCCTTAATTCTCTACTGGGTCTGATACTTGTTACAGTGGCCACACAGAATTCCCAGACAATACTCATGATTATGGGGTTAATTGGGGAAGCAACATGTTACAATTCAGATTCAGAACCAACTCTTCTTCACTGCAAACAAGACATCTGTCTTTCAGGTATCTCTGAAGGCAAACTTATTTGTGGCCTTTAGTCTTGTGACCTTGACCTTGACCCTGCTCAGCCAAGGGTTGCAAAGCTCTTTTGGCTCTGCTATTTTTAAGTACCAGTGAAATCATGGCTCAGAAGAGCCACATCAAGCAATTCACCGCAACACAATTGTCAAACAAGGTGTCCCATATCCTATATGGAATATGGCTGCCTGATTAATTATGATAATTATTTCTGTAAGTAGGATATCTGAATCAGTGATTCAAATCCACCAGCTGCTCCATGAGAGAAAGATGGGTTCTTTCTTCCCATGAAGATTTACAGCCTCAGAAGTTCAACGGAGGGTTGCTATAATTTGCAATCAAGGGGAAGTGGGTTTTGTTATATTTAAGGTTTTTTAAAAAAATTATTATCCTTATTTTTATGATTTGGAAATAGAGAACAGAGATTAGAGAGTGACATCACGCTTGGAAAAGTGGAAGGTCAATTTAAAAGAGGAAGATTCCGAGTTACCACGGAGAAGGAAGACCAGCCAAGGAACACGTCCTTTAGATTCCGGCTCCTGGACTGGGATGACGATCTCCTAAGAACTCTGGGGCTACAGATGTTAAAGGAAATAAGGGCCTTCCTCCAGCATTGCCAGGAGAAGCCTTCTTCTGGAGCCCGTGCCCTGAGCTTGGACATGCAGCCTCCTGTGCGTTGTGAATTTTTCAGGATACCTGGAAGACTTTTTATGTTGTGGATTAGAACTATTAGAGTTCAGACGGAGTTCCGCCACCAGACAGGCCGGGAAGAGACCCAGGAAGAGCAATAGTCAGCCATCCACCGTGGAACTCCAGAGGTGCGAAGACTACCCGCCACTGTGCGACCCCCCTGCAGCCCGCACCTGTGTGACCCCCTACACAGAGGGTGCTGCTGCATAAACAACCAGCAGCGCCCAAGCCCCTCCCCCACCTCTTGGTGGTAGTGTCCAAGCCCTGCGCTCCTTACCCCTCTAGTCCCTTGCTTTCCTCCCCTTCCCCCGCACCCCATCCAGCTCCACAACCATGCACCTCAGCCCCCACCACAGCCCTGTGACTTTAGGGCACCACCGCGATCTGATCGAGCCATCACCTGGAGCTATCAACCGAGCTGTTGTGGAACTAACCTGGCAGAAGAAAGGCCGATGTTGTCCTGGACATGCTCACCAGGTAACACCAAGAAATCTGGAGGACAACCACTTGGCCAACCAACTGGAAGAGATCCATTATTTGTACCTATTCCCAAAAAAAGGTGACCTGACAGAGTATGGAAATTATCAAACAATATCACTAAGATCACAGACAAGCGAGATCGTGCTGAAGATTATTCAGGAACAAATGGAACAATAAATCAGCAGAGAACTACCAGATGAGCAAGCTTGGTTAAGAAGAGGCTGTGGCACTACAGACATAGCCAACGTCAGGTGGATCTTGGCTAAAAAGGCAGCGCTACCAGAGAAACATCTATCTGTGTTTTATTGACTATCCAAAGGCATTTGACTGTGTGGATCACAACAAATTGTGGCTAACCTTGAGAAGAACGGGAATCCCAGAACACATGTTTGTGCTCATGAAAATATATACTTGGACCAGGAAGCAGCAGTCAGAATAGAGGAAGAAAATACTGCATGGTTCAGAATCAGAAAAGCATTCAAAGACACCGGCATGAATTAGCATCTGGCCACAGCATCCTGACCAGTGAGTAATAGACAAGCTCACGTGTTCAAGTTCCAGCAGGGTGTGCTTCTGCACTTGACTCAAACCCATCTAGGACTGTCTAAGGCACACCAAGCCCCATGAGGATAAAGCAAGAGCCCTTTGCACAAGAAGTGTGCACCCCAACCTGGCAGTTCCATTACGCATCATTTGCTGTGTGACTACTGTGTACTAAGCTGGATGTAAAGGAGGGACCAGGACAAACATGGGGTGAGTCCTGCCCTCAATGGATTACAGATTCATGAGATTCATGGGGGAGAAGGATTAATAAAGAATAACATTTATTCTTAAAAAAAAAAGAGGAAGATTCCATGAAATGGATTGACACAGTGAAGACAATAGGCTTAGGTGTGTTGGAGATGATCAAGTTGGCTCAGGATAGGGCGGGGTTTAGAGCTGTTGTTCAGAGGGTGGCTGTGAGTCAAAGCTGATTTGATGGCTCATTACAACCACAGTGGGTTGGATAGAAGTCAGCACAGAAGCCTTTCTGGAGACAGTGAATGTTGAGTGGAGGTGGTGTTTGTTTTTGTTTTTGTTTTTAAGGAAGGAGAAAGCAAGAGAGCAGATGAAGAATCTTGAAATGAGGGGAAGAAGCATAAACAAGAAGGGTCTCACTGAAGAATAACTTCTTGGACAGTTTGGGCCTGTGGACAGAGATGCATGACTCTAGTTGTTCATCATAATCACCTGGAAAGTTTTACAAAGCTCATTCACCAGAGCTTCTGGGGTGGCTGTCTGCAAAGTCATTACACCTTCGTAAATTCTGATGTAGATAACCTGGATTGCAAATCACAGTTTAGAAGCTGGAGAGTCAGTGAACTCAGCTAGAGAGAGGGATCTTCCCTGTGATGAAGTGTGAAGAGTTAGGCAGGCAGAATTGGGAAGGAAGGGAGGCCACAGGGCTGGCAACAGAATAGTGTGAGTTCCTTGGAGGAAGGTTGCTGTAGTTGGGTAGATGATAAGAGAGCTCTGAAGGCTTTTCCAAAGTCAACCACAAACTGTTCAAATTAATACATTAGTGCTTGTAAACTCCACTTTATGCTACTGTAAAAAACCCGAACATATCACAGACCACGTTTTTAGCCCTTGTGGTAGATCAGTAATTCTGAGTCAAGACTTGCCCTGTATTCTCCAAGTTCAGCCTTTGGCAATTCCCTCACTTACTTCACACTCATTGCCTCTTCATCTCCAAATGCCACCTTTCCCCCGTTTGCTACTGAATTTGACCCTCCGTGCCATTTTTGTTTCCCCCTCGCTTGAAAAATGTCACAAGCCTTGCCATGACTTCAGAGTTCTAGGATTTTTATTTTTTAATCTGCCATAGCATCCTGCATGGACTTCCGTGTGTGGCCACGGTCAGACGTGGGCTCAGTGCTCAGCCACCTCCTGGCCAGTGTCGGGTGCTGAGGAGGAAGAAGATCAGACCCAGACCTTAGACAGCTCCCAGTTTAATGGGGGAGATGAAATGCACACACGCAGTAACTGGCACACACAAAGCAAGAGGTCAAAGTAATGCAGTGCGAGCTCCAGCCATTAGAGGCCAAGCCCCCGACCCGTCCTTCCCGTATCCTTTGTTCAGACCTTTCCGAGTTTCCTCCTCCATCTCCTTTCTATTGACATCCTTCCACCAACAACACCTAGACCAGTGCCCGGTATCGATTCTAAGTTTATTTTAGGGCTCCGTGCTTCCGCTGCCAGCTGCCCCTGCATTCCACTTTGCAGTGGGGAATTCAATCAGAAGCAGACGCCAAGCTGGTGAGAGAGGTTTCACAAGGCTGGGTGTTTCTTACAATAACGTTCCAGCCATAAATTGGGGTCTCAGGATTGCTGAGTCTGGAGAAAGAGCCCTCACGCTCCCCCTCTCCCCACCTGCCCAGCCCCCACAGGACCCACACCCAGGAGGTCTCTGCAGTCTCATGGGAGTCATTCTGTGGTGAAATCAGAACTGGGCGCCGCATCCGTTTGGTTCACGCTCCTGTCCCCACTGGTCCCCTCGGCAGACGCTCTGCACGTGCATCCCATCAGGGAAGAGGCCTGATCTCTCAGCATCTGCAGCCCCTTCCCAAAGGTTCTCCGCACCACCGAGGACGAGAAATAGAAAAGCAGGGGATCCAGGGTGGCGTTAAGAGAACTGAACACCACGGCTTCCACTCGCCACGCGGGGCTTTGCCCGGTGTGATACCCCACCAGGTGAGAGACGTTGTAAGGTCCGAAGCACACCAGGAAATTGAGCAGGGTCACGACCGCCAGCCCCACGGCTCGGCGCCGCCGCTGGGCCCCCACGTGGGGCTGCGTGAGCATGATCCACACGAAGCGCCAGTAGCAGAAGATGGTCACCACCATGGGGATGAAGAAGAGGACCAGGCACAGCTCCAGGCGCACCGGGAGCACCACGTCGCGCTGCTCCTTGGTGAAGTTCTCGTAGCAGACGAAGGTGCTCCCATCTGTGGTCGAGTTCAAGTACTGGACGATGATGACGATGCTGCAGTGGCCGAAGGACATGATCCAGGCCACCAGAGCCGCGATCACGCCGTACACAGGCTTCCGCGAGAGCTTGTACTGCACCGGGAAGGCCACTCCCAGGTAGCGCTCGACGCTGATGCCCGCCAGCAGCCAGGTGCTGCAGTAGATGCTGCTGTAGAAGCCGAAGGCAGTGAGGGCGCACAGGAGCTCGGGCAGGTGCCACTGGAGGCCATCTGCCGCTTCCACAATCTTAAAGGGCAGCAGCAGCAGCAGCAGCAGGTCCGCCAGCGTCAGGCTGAGCAGGAGGACATGGACAGGGGCAGGGTGGGGCTGACGGATCCGCCCCACGAAGGCCCGCAGGGCCAGGAGGTTGGCGGGGAGACCAGTGAGGAAGATGATGATATAAGCCGCCAGGATCAAGGAATTGCGAAATTCTGGCATGCTCATTCTGGAGGATCAAAAAAAGGGCAAAGTCAGGAGGCCCCGCTGCAGCCTGGCTTGCAATGCCCACATTCACCCCAGGCGTGTGTCCCCTTCCAAGACTTACTGCTGCCTCTACTGCGTGCATACACCACCTGCCGGAGCTTCCCAGAGCAATTATTGACTTTGCCTTGGGTAGTATATTAAGCAATCGTTATTATGTTTGCCAGCATGTGTCTCTGGGGAAGCCCAACCCCTGGCTTCCCATGGGAATTTCTCCCAGGCCCCCGGTTTCCTCAACCTTTCCCTCCCACCCTCACAGCTACACAGCAAGTCACTGAAAATACTTGACAAGCCACCAGGCCTGGAGGAGAGAGTTTTAGGATATTTATCTTGGTTTCACCAGGGTTGGCAGGCTCTGACCACATAAACTCAGAGGTGGCTCTCTTCCGGACCCTGACTCACCTCCAGGAATCAGGTGCCCAGTCCCCCATAGCCCTACTTCATTCTGATTTTTGCTTTTTGTTGTTGTTCATTTTGCAGAACACAAACCCTCTTCCACCTCTCTATCTCTGTCCAGCATCAGACACTGAGATTCAATTAAGAAACGGAAGCAAGCAAAGCTTAAAAACAGGCACAGTAGCAGAGTTAAACCAGCACTATGCTTTTGGGGTTTGCCTCCAGAACACAATAGAGAAAAGGCAGAAAAGCCCATGGTATTTAGTGGAATCACAGGTTGCTATTTTGACTCTAAACATCTCTTGTCAATGGGATGACTTCGCTTGGATTCTAACCCTCACTGGCCACACAGTATTGTCCCTCCATCCTGACTCGTTTTGAATGCCCATCCATGCCCCCTGCACCCACACTGGTTTCTGTCTCTAGATAGGCTCCCTCCATGTCTGCCTCTGAGAGACTTCCTCCAGCCCTCTTAATATCTCCCCCTCAAATTCACATCCCAGCATCACTTCCCAGAGCTCAAGACTAAGCTGGCTGCCTTGCCTGGTCTTCCGTCCAGAGGTGGGTTCCTGGACAGTCCTGAAGGGAGGTCTGTCAGCTTCTGGGAAAGAAGGGCAGAGGTTTTTAGCCACTGCTACCACTCATTTCACAGAGGAAAAAAAAATTGTGGGGAACCTGGCTGGCAGAAAGCTTTTATATTTTATACCGGAACAAGTCACATGACAGAGGAGAGAGAGAGAGAGAGAGAGAGGAGAGAGAGAGATATCAGTGACTGAAGGCTATCTTCTCTCAAATAGGGCTCCAGCCTCTCATGCTGCCCCGAGGAATCTCTCTCTGACTTCTAGACCCGGATTTTCCTATCCCACATTTGTCAATTAAAAAAAAGTTATCTCAGACATTTCCCTCATTTTCTAAGTCCCAGCCCCTTGTCTTCAGTTTTCTAGGTGTTTTCTTCTATATTTTTACCCATTCTCAGGAAATAGTATTCTTCTCTTTTCTACCTTTTACATGGTGTCTTGTTCTTTCTCCTTATTCTTACTCCACTTTGTCTTCTCAATTGAAACAAAGTTAGTTTTGCCCAATCTGAATCGTATGTTATGGGAAAATGGCATGAAATTAAGTCTTGGGTTCAAATCCGAGTCTTTCCTTTGATGTGCTGTGTGACCCAGCAGTGGATTTTCTAACTCAGTTTTCTTGTCTCAGATGAGGATAGTAATATTCACACACACACACACAAAAAGATTTTTGTAAGGGAGCTCTGGTGGCCTAGTGGTAAGGAGTTGCCCTGCCAACTCTAAGGCATGTAATTCAAATCGGCCAGCTTCTGCTCCTTGGGGGTGGGACAGGGTGGGGGGAGACAATCTCCTCCCATGCAATTTACAGCCTGTGAAAACCCGCTGGAGTAGGTTCTGACTTGATGGACCATAACAAAAACAACAATGGAGTTTCTGTCTTTTTGAAGACTCTTTTTTCACAGAGGGAGAATCACTTAGTGAAAGATTTTTAAGTTTAGGGTACTGACACAACATTTTCCTTGGAAAAGGGCCTGGAATTCCAGAGTTTTGATGTGCCTGTGGGGCTCTCTGTAGGGAATGGGTACACAGGCTCCATTTCTTACCCATCTCCTTAATTTCTTCCTCCCTCTGCACTAGACCTGACTTATAACCACACTTGTTTTCCCCCCATTATTCCCCTCTCAAAACCTGAAGTAGGTCCAGTTTAGGTACAGCAGTCCCAGAAGCTTCCCAGAGAGCCTTTTTGAAACAGACAGCTGAAAAACAGCTAGGACATGTTTTCATCTTGACCCCATCCTGACCCAGGGAAAGGATCTCTGCTTTGTTATTTGTGCTCCTGATTTCTGCCCACAGAATCTCCATTCTTTTCCTGGGACATATCTACTCCTGTTTTGTTTATTCGTCATTCATTCACCCTTCTCTTCCTCCCTCCCTCCATTCCTCCATCTATCCAATGACCTATCATTCATTCACCCACCCATTCATTATTTTAATGGCTCAGAAGCCTACAGTCCAAGCATCTTGATATTTAACTTTTCTTTTGTGCCAACTTTATAGTCCCTTGAAACCAAGACAGGAAGCCTGAGTGCTCCTTAGAAGCAAAGATGGTGCACCTTCTTCTCCCGTACTGTGAGCATGTCATCAGGAGAACCCACTCAGTGCTTGCAAAGGGACATCACGCTTGTAAAAGTGCAGGCTCAGTGAAGGAGAGGACCCGGAATGAGAGAAACTGACATGACTGTAACAGTGGACCAACAGCAGAGATTGTGAGGATGGTGCAGGATCAGTCAGGGGCTCATCTGGTTCTACGTGGAATTGTTATGAGTTGTACTGACCCAGTGGCACCTACAAGAACAAAGTCAAAGGTTCTACTTGCCTATCACCTGTCCCCTCAGCATACCTGTGCGCTTTCCAGACAGATGCGGGCAGAGACCGTTCTGTGTTGCATCCTACCAAATGTACTTGTACCACATTATGACTCTTTTTTAGAAATAGGCAAGAAAATAAAAATTTCATTATAAAGTTGAAACTTACTAGAAAACAAGTGTTGAGTAAAACTGCTTCTCTCACCCGTGCTTGTTCTTCCTCCACCTTCTGCTTTTCTTCTGTCACCTGTGTGGAAGAGAGCATCAAACCCCTTCCTCCATAGTGGTGACTCTCCTTGTTATGAAGGTAGGATCAGAAAAGGTGACCTTGAACTTGGGGTTCATGACGCTCACCTACATCACAGGAAATGGAAATGCAGCAGATCCGGGGAATGCAAAGGGGTGAGTTTCCACGGAGTGTCTTTCACAATCTCCTCCGAGTTTTACTTTCTCTCAACATCATTACAAACCAGCTTGTTATAATGGGAAGTTGAACCCCCTGTCTAAGGGCGTGTACAACCGCTTTCTCCACTTCTTTATTTCTTAGTCACTTCTCAGTCTCTGGGTTCCAGTCTCATATGTTCATGCGATGCCACTGTTGTTGTTGTGTGCCATCGAATCAGAACCGACCTGTAGCTGACTGTCCAGAGGATTTTCAGAGGCAGTAAATCCAATTCATTAGTAAAAACAACTCACTAAGCATGGAACTGCAAGGACGCATGCGTGGCCCCGGAGCAAGCTCGGCACGTGGGGGGCACGCTGGGGGCCATGCTGAGGATAGCCTGGGGGCCATGTGGGTGGCAGGCTGGTGGGGGCTTCTTGGAGGGAAGCCTGGGGGCCACATGGGGGACACACTGACACCGCTGCAGGCGGGGCACTAGGCTCATGTTCTTGGTCGTTAGGGGCGACAGGGGAGGGTAGGCTGGCGCTGGAGGGAGGTGTTAAACAGCGGTGGATTGCTGTGAGGGTGGCCTGGGATCTGTGCAGATGGAATCATTCCACCAACGGCCACAGGAGGTGAGTTCAAGAAGACCTCGAAATTCCCACAGCTGGAATATTTCCTTTGGGGAAAGATGACTGCGGCTTCTGAGTGAGAAGGTAATAGAGCTCTGACCCACTAACACCAGAAAAGGAAGGAAACAAGCTGGAGTGGCTTCCTCCTGACCAGCTGCAGAAGAAGAGGGAGGTGAGCAGGTGAGATACTACCATCAACAGGAAATGAGGGCTTCAACTTTTGGACCTTGTTGTTTCCTTGGGACTTTGTTCTAGAAAGTACCCTATCTCCCAGACAGATGCACAAGAGGAAGCAGGTCTGAGACATAACCAGCAGTACAAAGCTGAGTCTTGTGGACCACGCTTTTGGAACCTTGCCTCTTTCCTGGGCCTGTGTCTACTCAGATGAGAGCGACTCCCCACTGACAAGCTACAGAGGGGACCAGTCTAGGGAATGGGCACTAACACTAACAGACTTGAGGACTGACCTGTGTGGATATTAACTGGGCCTGTATCTGCCCAGTCAAGGGCACATGGGTTGGCCATTAGCTACATTTGAGACTAAGGGGCTGCACTGTTTGGACTTTGTTACTTAGCTAGATCTGTGTTGCTCAGATGGGAACTGCCCTTCCATGCAGGCGAGAAGTCAGGCACAAGGGTCAGTCACTTTTACCAGCTGAGACATGGAGAAGGCATAGTTCAGTTTGGTCACCTCCCTGGCCCTTTATCTACTCATACAAGAGAGTAGCTCCCTCCTAACCAGACATATGGGAAAGGAGAATGGTGCTAGGATTGGTCAGGAGCACTAACTGAGACACTGGGACTATGCTATTCAATATCAACCACATCCCTTAGAAAAGACCCCAGGCAGCACTCCTGGGACATTGTCTACCCCCTTCCTCTCCTCTGATAGAGTACAGTGATCAGGGGGAGTGTGGTCTCCAGCCCTTGCTGTGCACCAGCACAACTAAGGACAATAACAAACCGTGGAAGAGGTGAATAGCACCTAGGGGAGATTCCTTCAGGCTGCATTGCAGACCAGAGGGAGGTTGAAGAACTGTGGGAAAGGTGATCTTTGCTATAGTACAGGAACAAAAAGGACTCTTGATTTAGTGAGTTGCCCTCCACCATAAAGTGAACACTTCAAGTATGCAGCTAATCAATAACATTGTAAAGATAAAGAATTGTG